CCCCCAAGCCGCGCAGCCCTAAACCCTGAACCCCCGCATCCCCCCAAACCACCCAACACCCCAAGGTGGTCCAAGACGAGCTGGGGGCGCCCTGGTATGAGATCTTTGCGGAGCTCACGCCGGAGCCCATCGCGGCCGCTAGCCTGGGGCAGGTCTACAAGGGGCGCCTCAAGACGGGCGAGCAGGTGGGGGGCAGCGCGACGGCCGGGCTTGGGGTCGCGATGTAGGGGTCGTTGTTTGTGGTCGTTGGCAGGCGGGGTGCGACGGGTGGCGGCGGCTGGGGCCTGGTGCGTGCTGGTGCCATTTGCAACCGGCGACCGGGGTTTTTGGGGCGTGTTGGGGCGGCCAGGGACCTTCGGGAGGGAGGTTAGGGGCAGGGGGTTGAAGCGGGAAAGAGATGAGATTAAACACACCCACAAGGGGCGCCTCGAGACGACGCCAATCTTGACGATATCCCTCCCCCCCAAAATCCAGGCACCAGCCCCCACCCCCTGAGCCCCAACCCTGAACCCCACCCCCTGAATCCCAGGTGGCCGTGAAGGTGCAGCGCCCTGGTGTCTTGGAGACCGTGACCATCGATCTGTACATCATCAGGAAGCTGGGCATCTTCATGAGGCGCTTCCCACAGGTGGGTGGATGAGGATGAGGATCGCGACAGCTGCCCAGGGTAAGGGTTGAGCATGCAGGGTTTAGGGTGCAGGGTCAGGGTTTGATGCGGATCAGGGGTTGAATGTGGGTCGGGGAAGGGATGGAACAAGGCGGCCAGTGTTTTAATGGTCCCAGGCTTCAGGGGGTATGGTGGAAACGGTCCAGCGGCGGCCCGGGGCGGGGGTTGTGCGGGGGGTGGACCCGCGTGAGGGGGAGCGCGAGCATTTCATCGGGCTTGCGGGGCCCTGGGGGCCGGCCGAGACCACCAGGGGGCGGCGCAAGCAGCTGGAGGCTTGGATGGAGGACGCATGGCTGGTCAACCCAGGCCGGCCCCTGGCTGTCAACACAACCGGCCAGCCTCATCTCCCGGACGTGACC